CGCACTCACCAAGAAGTTTACCGATTTCACAACTTCTGGGAGTAGCTGCCGATGTCGATCTTCAAATCGTCAACGTCCATCTCGATCAAAATCACCGTGCCGAATGTCTTCCTACTGCTGGTACCATCAGCGATTTGGCCCGCAGGCCAAGTCGTGCCGCCCACCGTGTTCCTTCAAACGCAACTCGCAGGGGAAACGGGCCGACCAGCACGTAGGGGCGACGGACGTAGCTGGTCAACACAGTCGCCTATTCTTCGTCACCGATCGACAAACGGGAGTTCGCTATCTCGTCGACACTGGCGCAGAAGTCAGCGTCCTTCCACGTGATCCCAACGACGCAACCGGAAAGGTGACTGGTTCTCTACGCGCAGCCAACGGCACCAGCATCCGCGTCTACGGTCAGCGCTCGCGCACGCTTAACCTCGGCCTGCGACGCTCTTTTCGATGGGTATTCCTTGTCGCTGACGTCCAAAATCCCATTATCGGGATGGATTTTCTTCAGCACTTCGACTTGCTCGTCGAGGCTAAACGACATCGTCTCATCGATCAGACAACGAAACTTTCCGTCGCTGGAATATCCAGCGATGTAGCATCGCTCAGTCCGGTGTACGCCACTGCCAACTCGCCGGCCGGCAAAGCGCTACTTGAGAGTTTCCCTGAAGTCTTCCGACCTTCATCGTCTCTGTCAACTGCAGCCGCAGCTACGCCGCATCACATAGTTACCAAGGGTCCGCCCGTCTCCGCCAAAGCCCGAAGACTGATTCCGGACAAGCTCAAAACCGCCCGTGCGGAATTCGAGCACATGCTCGAACTTGGCATCGTCCGACCATCCAGCAGCCCTTGGTCTTCGCCCCTTCACATGGTCCCGAAAAAGTCAGGAGACTGGCGACCATGTGGCGATTACCGCGCCCTCAACAACGTGACAATTCCGGATCGTTATCCTATTCCTCACATACAGGATATTACGGCCGGTCTTCATGGCGCTCGCGTGTTCTCAAAGATCGATCTGGTGCGAGCTTATCATCAGATCCCGGTCGCCGACGAGGACATACCGAAAACCGCCGTTATTACACCATTTGGATTATTCGAGTTTCTACGAATGCCATTCGGTCTGCGCAACGCCGCGCAGACATTTCAACGCTTCATCGACTCCGTCGTACGTGGACTCGACTTCGTCCACCCGTACATCGACGACATCCTGGTGGCCAGTTCTTCGGAAGAGGAACACCGAACACATCTACGACTCTTGTTCGAACGGCTGAAGGCGCACAACGTCACCGTCAACCCCGACAAGTGCATTTTCATGCAGCCGCGCATTGACTTCCTCGGACATCAACTTGATTCCGAGGGTATCCGCCCTTTGCAGGACAGAGTCCAGGCAATTCGCGACTTTCCTCATCCAACGACTCTAGCCGCCATTCGACGCTTCAACGGCATGGTCAACTACTATCGCCGATTCCTGCCACGCTGCGCCGAGCTTATGCAACCGCTCACCGATCTTCTGCGTGGACGCAACAACGGCAAAGTTGATCTTACGCCTGAAGCACGAAAAGCATTCGAAGCTAGCAAAGAAGCACTCGCTTCCGCCGTCATGCTTCATCACTTCGACTCGAACGCTCCAATCAGTGTAGCCGTCGACGCCTCGGAAAACGCAATCGGCGCTGTTCTACAGCAGTTTTCCCAAGGTAATTGGCAACCACTAGCGTTCTTCTCCCGACGTCTTCAGACAGCCGAGTCGAAATACAGCACATTTGGCCGAGTTACTCGCCGTATACTCCGCCGTTCGCCATTTTCGTCACGTTCTCGAAGGTAATCATTTTACGATCTTTACAGATCACAAACCACTCGTCTACGCCTTCCGGAACCCTTCGCCCCGACACTCCGCGTGAAGTTCGTCATCTAGATTTCGTGTCTCAGTTTTCGACGGACGTCCAACACGTGTCTGGCAAGGATAACGTCGTGGCGGACACGCTTTCAAGAGTAAACTCTCTGGCTCCGACCGATCAGTCGCTCGATCTGTCAGCTATGGCCGCTGCTCAGCAAGCCGAAAAAGACTTAATGTCATCCTGCGAAGAGTCCACGTTAAAGTTGGTACCTAGACCGCTTCCTTCGTCTACAGGTACAATAATCTGCGACGTCTCTACCGGACATCCACGTCCACTGGTACCAACTGCCTTTCGCCGAAAAGTCTTCGATACGCTGCACAACATCGCGCATCCTGGCATCCGCGCTTCAGTCAAGATGATTGCCGACAGATACGTCTGGCCCAACATGCAGCGCGACGTCAGACTTTGGGCACGCAACTGTCTGACTTGCCAGCGAGCAAAAGTTCATCGACATGTTGCCGCTCCGATAGGACGCTTCCCGTCACGATCAACTCGATTCGCTCACGTCCACCTCGACATCGTTGGACCACTTCCGCCGTCCAAAGGCATGGTCTACATCCTGACCATGGTGGATCGCGCCACTCGTTGGCCTGAAGCTGTTCCAATTCCCGATGTATCAGCTGAGACCATAACGCGCGCATTCGTCGAGCGCTGGGTCGCTTCACATGGCTGTCCAGCCACTGTGACTACCGACCGTGGTCCACAATTCGAATCGTCGACTTTCAACGACCTACTCAAAGTCCTCGGATGTAAACGCATCCGGACAACTGCCTACCATCCTCAAGCAAACGGAATGGTGGAGCGTTTCCACCGACAGCTTAAAGCCTCGCTAAGTGCCGCCAATGCACTTAGTTGGACAGAAGTTCTGCCAATGGTACTACTCGGAATTCGATCAGCACTGAAAGCCGATCTCGAAACGTCCAGCGCCGAACTGGTCTATGGACAACCACTCCGATTACCAGGCGACTTCTCTGAAAGCCCGAACACTCCTCGCTACGACGCGCACTACGCTCGGCAGCTAGCCACGAGCATGCGCCGCAATAAATCGACCGCAGTACGGGAACAGCATCGCAAGTCTTACGTTCCCAAAGATCTTCACCACTGCCCGTTTGTCTTCATTCGCATTGATGGTCTACGCAGACCACTCGAACGACCTTACGAAGGTCCATTCAAGGTCCTACAACGTAAGGATCGCTTCTTCGTCATCGAACGCAACGGCAAGCGCGAAACCGTCTCAATCGACCGCCTCAAAGTTGCTTACGTCGAACCAGAGTCGAACGACGACTCCAGTCCTTCGTCCTCCGATGAATCGACCCAACCAATGGTGGAGGAAACGCCTGCAGACAGCAACACCACAACTGGAAACCCGCCTCCTGAGCCCTCCGACTCCGCCACGCCTAAAAAGGTTACTAGGTCTGGTCGTCGGGTTCACTGGCCGACACGTTTCTTAGAACGTTAGCTTAGCATTTTTGCTTCTAACAGCGTTTTCAGGTTTTCTTTCGCATCAGTACCCTCCAAAAACCGCAAAAAAACGCAAATGTTTTGAAAACCAAAAAACATCGCAAAGGTTTTGAAAACCAGAAAAACGGAGAAAACGTTTTGAAAACCGATAAAAAGAGTTGTTTCCTTGACTTTTCGCTGCCTATTCGGTAAGTGCTTTTCCCGTCCGTTGCTGTCGCTTCTTCTGCATGCCTGACTTCCCTCGTTTCTTTCTTTTCATGTTGCGAACCGGAGAACACTCACTCGTGGTCAAACACAAGTGATCGTATGCTACGAATGTTCTCCCCCTTTTTCTTTTATCGGCACCTTAAGGGAGGACATGGGTGGGAGTCCGCTAGGGTCCGATCGCCTGGTTCTCCCCAGCAGCTGCATCAGGTTTTACCGCCTGGTCTCGCAGAAGGCTGGCCCGCGACGGACAGTCCTCACGTAGTTCGAAGGGTCACTAACGGTTCCCTTCTAGGAGGAGGGCTATGTAGTGACCTGGAGATTGTCCTGTGCGTAAAATATAATATCAACTTAGGAAGCTTGCCTGTTACCACGATGACTACGTGTGTTTGAGTCATCCAGACGAAACGCATTCGCGTGCTTCTGGCTTTCCGCCTCGAAGAGCGTTTGCTGCGTCTCGGCTGGCGACCATAACTTTCACATAGCTAGAACTTTTGCGGTGTCCTTAGCGAGCAGGATGATGCGTTTCGACAATAAACGTCTATCTCGCCCAAATATCTGTCTTTTACGACTTTTCCTTGAGGCGGGACGAACATGACATATAGCGATCGAGCGATTCTGCTATGGTTCTCTAGAATCTCGCCAAAAATATTTAGAACCTAGTTCATTGTACATGTTCGGCCAATCCTGAATTATGGCCTTCCAGCTGTCTATCTCTTCTCAAAACATGATTGTGCCTTGTTAGAGAAGGTTCAGAAGCATGGTAAGAAATCAGTCTCGGAGTTTCACGATCTCAGTTACCCTCTTAGACTTCAGAACATTGACTTTTTACTCCTGGAGTATCGCCGCCGTCGAGGGGATATCATCAAAACCAGACGGATCTTAAGGGGGAAAATTGGGACGGACTTACAAGGACTCTCGATTTAAAGTGGATACCCCGATACGAGGTCATAAGTGGAAGCTTTACTAACGAAAAATACTTTCAGTCCAGTCCGATGTTACCCTATCTACTCGGATGAACGACTGGAACAGCATACCAGAGAGTGTAGTTGATAAACAGACTCAGGAAGGTTTTCAGCTTTTGCTAGATTGCCACCTGATGAATACCGCAGGTTCTTGCTGTCCTAATTGCAATGGCTAGGATCCCCAGAGGCGCGTCGACTAGCAAACACAAGCATTAACCTCGCAATGAAAAAACCGAGCTGGCAAGGGTCTTTCCTTTTGCTCTCTACACACTAATGAATCCCGAAAACTCTTCCCTCAAGATAGATGGAAGGCAAAACATCACAAAGAACGGAAACACACCATGAGCCAAGTAAATCAAATATTAATGCTACTTGTGGAGTCAAAGAATGATTAGAATATTAACTGGTCAGAACATTTATGACTTGTTAAACATTACCCCAAAGTAATTGCACAAATTTAGATAATCGTCAAAAGAACACGCACCTCGATGAATACTTGATAAGACCGAAGCCTTTCTTGATTCCAACAAGAAGAGCCTAATTCAAAAGTAACAATTAAAAGCTTAACGTTACCGGTATGCGCTGCCTTTCATTGCCTGCATGCTCCACCGGGATTTGCATCGCAGAATTATCTGAGTCGAGCAGACAGACCAGGTCGCATCAAATGCGCGGAAGGAAGGAGTTAGGAATGCGAGCGCGTTAGTGTGGTGATCTATAGTTGCAGCAGTGATTGGAAATGTATTCTATTGACCCTGTATTAAAAGTCATGCAAAATATACCTTGAAGACAAAGATGCCCATTTAGCTGGTTTTGGCTATCGTTATAGGTACAATTTGATAAACAAGAAAATCCTTAATATCACAAAGTATACTGCCAACGCCGAAAGATATTTTGCAATAAACAGCTTAACTATAAAGCAGTATTTCAAAACACTGTGCCAATGAGTATCAAGGATGATAATAATTGTGACAAATCTGGAGCCTTACCCGGGAAACCCAAAAAAGACATCAAAATTTTAAGCTCCCGCCATCCGCGGAAACGACGGAGCCATCCGATCGATGTCAAATTCAAGTTACCAGCAAGTGAGTAAAATAAAGGAGCTCGTTCCGGAAAGCGCTAAAAATGAATGAAACGTT